ATCGATGAGAGAGAAACATCGACCAGCTGCCTCCTGCACATCTCCTACTGGGGATGTGCCCGCAACCCAGGTACATGCCCTTGACCGGAATCGAACCCGGGACCTTTCAGTCCGCAGGCCGATGCTCTATCCACTGAGCCAAACCGGTTTCGGCAATAAACTTTTAAGTTTTAAGTCAACTTTGCACTGCACGCGCGCGCCCGCACGTGGTATTTTGTGGAAGAGCCACACTCAAGGGGCCAAAGAGCCGCATGTGGCTCGCGAGCCGTGGTTTGCCGACCACTGGCCTAGACCTGCTCCTTATTTTCTTGGTTGATCCCGGGCAAGTCCCTTCACCTTCATTGGCCTTATTTTCCTAACCTGTAAAATGGGGAGGACACCCCTATTTCTCAGGTCATTCTGCGTACTAGAAAGGGATATACACATCTAGCACCAGGACGTGGTAGGGGCTCATTGGTGTTTGTGAGGCACCCAGTCCACAGCTGCTAACCTTGTCCTTCAGAACGTAGAGCGCCATGGGGTTCTTCCGCTCCTGCTCTCCACTTCGGGGGAGGGTGTCTGCTGCACAGGGCAAAGAATGGGGTGGCTGGCCCTGATCCAGAACCCTCCCCACCAGCCAGCACCTACGTTCTGCTCCCCAAGTGGCCAGTCAAGGTCCCGCCACAACCTCCACCAAAGGATCAGCCACGCGTGGGGTCCTACCTTGGCCGCACCTCTCCCTGCTCTGCAGTCTTCGGGCAGTTGGTGGAGGAAGGGGCCCTGCAGAGCCGGCTTCCTTGAGGCCCAGTTCTGCCTTTTCCCAGAAGCCCACTGATCTGAGTGAGGATGGGTTGGGTGAGTGGGCCGCTGGGAGCTCACCTTCTGGCTTCAGGATGTCATCATTCTGATCCATATATTCCAGGGAGTTTTGTTTTTCCAGTTTCTTCTTCTTTCTGCAAATCAACCCAGCACCCCATGAGCAGAGTTGCTGAGTGTGAGCAGGAGGAGGTCTGGGGGTGGGGACAAGGGCGAGTGGATGGCTGTATAAAGGGCCTGATAACAGGAGGATGGGCTGGAATGAGTCAAATCTAAGTTTGTCGCTGGCATTGTGACTGTGGACAATTTGAGTCTCCGTGTCTTTATCTGTAAACTGCAGGTAATGATACTTAAAAGGTAGGGCGCTAACCACAACCACAGTGCCTAGCCCGTGAAAGGTGCCCTGTGAGTGAAACCATTATTAACAGTGTGGGTCATGGGGGGGGGGGTTGTTGTGAGCGCAGGAGGTGGTTCCATACACTGTACACACAGTGGTGAGTTGATCTCCTGGGAAGAAGTGCAGGGCCCTGGGATGAAAGGCATTTAAAGAGACTTCGAAAAGAAGAGAGCTTGGGTGTGGATTACAGGGTTAGGATGCTCAGGGTGAGGAACTTGAGGGGTTACCTAGACTTTTTGGAGGGTTTCCAGCAGGCACACACTGTCACCAAGGTCACAAGGAGGAAGATGCCTCCTGTGGACAAGATGATGTAGAGGGAGCTTCTTTCTAGGGAGAGAGAAAGGCAGAGAAGTGAGAGAGACTCCGGATGCGGTGCGGAGAGCTTCCTGCAGCGGGTGGAAGAGAAAAGGAGCCCCAGGCAGCATGGCTGGCTCCTGGCAGAGCTTGCCCAGGGCCCACTCCCCACCTGTTGCTGTTCTCCATGGAGAGCGGGCCCATCTCTGCCTCTCTCTCCCTCTGTCGGGGATGTCTGTGGCCCCTCATGGGTTTTGAGCCCTGAAGGGAGGGCAGGCAGGGAGACTCACTGTACACGGTGATTTTGATGGGCAGGCTGCGGCCCTGGCTGATGGGGTTCTCCACCACACAGCTGTACAGGTCGTCGTCCTCCATGAGCACGCGCGTGATGGTGAGCACCTTCTGGTCGGAGGACAGGAGCATTCGCGAGTCATTGAGGAGGGGCTTGCCATCCTTCAGCCAGGTGTAGCTGGGCTTGGTGCCGTTCTCATGGGAGCAGTTCAGGGTGAAGGCTTCACTGAGCTCCAGCACAGTGGTCGAAGCCACTAACACCTGTGGCCTCGAAATGGGCACTGAGCCCGGGGAGGGGACGCTGTGAGCCAGGGGCCAAAAGCTCCTCCCGCCTTCCTAACTTTTTACCTTCAACACAACACAACACAACTCAGTTTGTGATCAGAGAGGCCCTTCAGAGATCATTAGTCAAGTTCTTGACCACCATCCATCCATACATTCATTCATTCACTCACTCATTTATTAATTGATTTATTTTTAATTTATCTTTATTGTTGAAAGTATTACAG